GGAAAAAGGGAGAGGCTGTGTGCAAATGAAATAGAATGAGTGAATGAAAGAATTGGATTTGGGCAACCAGCTGATTAGGGCCTGTAAGCAAAGCAAAGCAAAGTTAGGAAATTAAGCCCCGAGCTAGGACCATCCGTTACCTCTGGAAAGCAAGCAGAGGTCATCCCAGACATTTGAAGTCTGCAAATAGTGGTGGTGAAAAGGGAAGGTAAAGCCGGTAAGAGCGTCCCGTACCTTCTGCAGAGGAGCAGAAGCGTCCTTGACAGACTCATTTTTTTGTCTGCAACCATGGTGGTAGATCCATAAAGGAGCATCCCAGTATTCTGTGAGGGATCCAGAGTGCTCTATGGGTCCCTTTTTGACCAAAAACTGGGGTGGTAGGCAGAAGTCTCACTAGGAGGCTTCAGTGAGCCAGACCCGATAGAACCAAAGTGAACCCCTGCATATAAGGGAATCATGGGGTGTTCTAGTTTGAGGGTCGAGATAGGCTCCCCAGTGTAAAGCTTGCTTGAGGCCTGGGACAGGAATCAGCTACCCGTTCAGGAAGTATGAAAAAAGAGATAAGTAGAGAAAATATATATATATAAAAATAGACTTTGCTTAGGGCTTCTCTGGGAAACCAATTTGGCTAAATAAAAGTACTTAATGGGAAAATAAGAAATAGTGATTCTCCCTCTCTCTCTTCTCTCTATATAACCAAGTGGTATGTTTAAAATGTGTGCCTTCTGTCAGAATCCAATCATATTTCATCTTTAATTATCAAATATAGAAACTCCCAATTCTGCCTTCTTTGGATTCTGCCATCAGAGGGAGAGAAGGGGGAGAACAAAGGGGCTTTATGGCCCTCACTTCCTTCAGTACACTTCAAAGAGCTGAATGCTGAATGTGTGTTTATTGTAACATCAAAGCGTTAGCACTAGAGGACCTTATCATAACAAAGCAGGGTATTTGCCTTTCATGTAGTTACCTGAAGTCTCCATCCAGACGGAGGAAAGAAGAAAGGGGGTGGAATTGTGATACTTGAAACTATCACTGGAAGGGGAGTTGATTTGGGTGGGACTACTGGGGAACCCCTTAAAACCTTGAATGGGAGAGCTTGAACCCCAAGTCCTGTCTAGCATGCCTGCAACCATTTTCTCTTAATAAAGGATTCCTGTTGGAAGAATTATTCCAAGAGTTCTGTCTTCTTAAGATGCAAAGTGGGGTGGGTCCTTACAGTGCCCCTCTTTCCACTTTTTATACTTGTCCTTTTTATCTTTCAATTTATCAGAGAGTTCTTTATGCAGCCATGCTGGTTTCTTTTGAGAGCTGTTATTTTTCTTCTTCATTGGTATTGTGCTAGACTGGGCTTTTATTATCTCATTTTTCAAAATTACCAAGCTTCTTGAGTTGTTTCCCTTAGAGGATTCTCATCCACGGAATCCTTCCCAAGCCCTCTCTATTTTTATTGAAATTAGCTCTCTTAAAGTCCAAGACTCTAGTTTGACTGTGTTCTATTGCTTGTGCTTCCATAATGTTAAATTCCAATATTGCATGATCACTTCCCCCCAAGGTTCCTGTGGCTTCAAGACCTTCTATCATTTTGTCTCTGTTAGTGAGGATTAGATCCAATATGGCCAATCCTCTAGTTCCCTTCTCTACTTTTTAGGAGACAAAGTTGTCTGCAAGTTTTGTCAAGAATCTGTTTGATCTTCCACTTGGTGCAGAGTTTGTCTCCCAGTTGATGTCAGGGTAATTAAAGTCCCCCATTACTATTGTCATGTGCTTCCTACATACCTTAGTTAGCTGACCAGCAAAAAGATCATCTATTTCCCATTTGGTTGGATGGCCTATAGTATACACCTATGGCAATGTCATTTTTTCCCTCTTTTTCTATTGACCCAAGTGCATTCAAGACAGTTTTCATCATTGCTGTGCTCTTTTTCTGTAGAGATGTAGTTATTTCTTATATAGAGAGCAGCTCCACCTCTTCTATTTGGTCTGCTTCTTTTAAATAATTTAAATCCCTCTAGCTGAGTGTTCCATTTGTGGGGCCATGTCTCCATAACAGCAACAATATCATATCTGCCCTCATTTACGTGAATTTCTAGTTCACCCTGTTTGCTCTTCATTCTCTATGCATTGGCGTACAGACATTTGAGTCCTTTATGACTGACCCTCTGTTTACTTTCTACATAACCTGTGTAGTGCCTGAGTTCCCCTATTTTCTTACCACCTGTTTGGTTAGTGGCACTCGCTATTAGAAGCTTGATTTTTTGCTTAATAGCAAAGTTGATATTCTTGTCCACACACACACACACATCTAGGTTACATGTACTGCTAACCCTGTGAATTTTTTATTGCTGGGGACAGGGATGTTCTGTATCAATTAACTCACTGTCCCCATTATTTGGTTTAAATATTCCTCCAGAAAATCTGTGAGTTTATTGCCAAGTAACTCAGTCCCTTTCTTTGATGGATGCAAACTGTCTCTTTTGTACATAGTTTCATTGGACCAGATACAGACATTGTGACAATTCAGCATGAATCCCTGGCTAGCTAGACAGAATGGTCCTCAAACATGAGTTATTATACCCTTTCATGGTTTCCAAAATTGTCATTTCTGATTGGTGAGTTTAAATTTGTCTTTTCTAATTTGTTGGTCAGTGTCTGTTGTTGGGTTAATTTCTTTCTCAATTCTGTCTAAGAGGTGTTAATTTTTGTTCCAGGAGGGATCTGGTGTTAATTATTTTATTGTTGTGTACCTTTTGGTGTTTCTATTCTAATCCTGTCAATCCTAATTGCTGTTAGCCAGTTCTGCATTCCTTATAGCCAGTGTGTGTTAAGTGTTTGTTTGTTTAGCCTCAGGCTGCCGCTGAGTCAGACTAGTTTATATTGGGTTCTTCCTGTATTTGCCAAGGTATTTTCTCTTTGGGGTGAGGAGGGGGTGTCCTGCCTGCTGGGTTCCTGCCCCAAGCTCTGGAAATCATTCTGCAACATGTTGTAAATGGGTTTGTGTTCTAAATGGGTTTTATCTGTCTATCCTTTTCCTGAAACATGACCAGCATTTTTAAGTTGCAAGTCCTTGTCTTTAACATGTTGCAAATGTTCAAGTTCAGAAGTGAAACTTTTCATGTATGTTCTCTTACCCAGAATCCAGTCTTTCTTTTGTCATCTGGAATAATTTCATTTTGTCTGCCTATCTGTTTGTTTGACCACTGCAGTATTAATACCTTTTCAAACTGCCTGCAAGCTACTCACCCTCATGTACATCTCCTTTTCTTGTCCTTTGTTCTCCATACATTTGTTGGCCTCTCCTGGGAGAATCCACCCAGAAAAGGGGGGAGCCCTTGTTCTTGTATCTTTCAGCCCTGCATAGATGAACCCCCAGACTTTGGAAGCAGAGTACACTGATCCAGACATTGCCTCCATCCATTTGAGCCATGGAATTGAGTTTTGAATCCAGCCATCCACTAAAAAGCCACCATGCAACCTGAGTGGAACATCTTCCCAAGTCCTACCATCCCCGCAGATGCCTGTGAAAAACTGCAGAGGAAGGAAGGAATCCTGGAGCCACTGGTGCCATGTGAAGCCTCAGGAAACATTAGGAAGACTATGGGGGGAGGGTGGAAAAGCATTGAAAAGTTTTCCTTCTTGCCCCATTTGTATTGTAACAAGCTAGTTGAATGTATTTATGAAGAAATGGCATTTGGGAATAGTTGGCACAGCAAGTACTGAACACCTTGGACTTCTATCTGGTGGGAGGGAAAAATTATCCAGAATGTTTGTATTGCCTGTTTTGTATTAGTAGCTGCACACACACACGGGCACACACCATTCATAATTACACCGAGTCTCTTCCACCTACCTTCAGTAAAGTTCCTCAGGATGATTTTTCCTCTATTGCACCAAAGCTTTGCACGCACAATTTCCTGACAATTCCAAGGGGGAGGGAACCAGCCTCCCTCAGGCAATTTGCAATTCATATGCCCTGACTGAAGAAGTAGCAGGAAAGAGATCCCCAAACCTCAGCCCTGAATATCCTGCACTGATGAACTCAGATTGGAAGTCCTAGAGCTCATTATGTGCAATTTAAAGAAAAAATTGATAGCTAGCTTGCATACTGGCTAACCCCAAATGGACTTTATAAACCTGGATGCACTGCACTAAGAGCTAAGGCAGGAAACAACCCTTGAAAATGGGCAGCCAGTGGTTATGTAGTGAGGAAAACCATGGCTGTGAAGAATTTTGGGAGGAATGTGCAAACCTGACTGGAAGCTAAAAGTGACATCCAACATTTGAAAATGATTGGCACAGAATATTGAACAGTATAAATTTCTTTCCCACCTAACAAAATTTTTGCCCTGACTTTTAGAACTTTATGGGTTGGAAGCTCCCATTTTGGGAGCAGGGATCTTTTTCTGCTGGCTCCATTAGTGTCTTTGGGGGGGGGGCTTAACAATTTTAAAGCTTGTTTACCAAGTCTCCCTGATCAGATCAATTTTAATCTTGTGCCAGTAAGTGTGCCATTCATACACTTGTGGCACAAAGTGGGGATATTGTGGGAAGTCACCCCCCCAAGAAGGAAATATTAAAAGGATAGAAAAATATATTTCCTCCAAGGATCTTAAAGAGACAGAAATGCATGCCAAGTTTTCTTAATAGCCCCAAGTATGCCTTGCCCAAGCAGAAACCAGCTCTGTAGAAATGCAGATTTAAATCATTCAGGAAGGTTGGAGGCCCCCAGCTAGAAGATTAAGAAGACAAAGACACCCAAAATCTACATACCCCATGTGAGACAGTACATGTAGGATTAACTGACAAAGGCCAGAGAGGCACACCTAAACTCAGGTCAGAATACGTGAAACAGGAAATAGCCTCAAAGTTCATGCCACAGGAACAGGAAACTATTCCAAACAAAAGGCTAGAGAGGATATAAAAACCCATGTGCTCAGCCCTTCTTTTCTCTGTTATTTCCTGCAAGAACCGTCTTTCTGGCTCTTCAATAAACTGCAACCTTCTTCCCAAAGCAGTTGCCATATTGTTTATTTATCCCCGGCTTGGATGAACCAGGATGAAGACTTTTCTTTCCACATAACCAAGGTGCTTCTGCCAGCAGCCCCGTGTTTGATTTTGATTGGGAACCTACTGTCACATGGACCTGCTTTGTCATTCTCTATCTTGCTTCTTATGGATTCAGACATTTTCTGAAAATAGATACGAAAGCAGGAAATTGATGTATCCTGATGCTTCAAAATGTCAACTATTAGAAGACATATCCTTAGGAGAAAGATCAGGTTTCCCTATGGGAATTTTATTCCCCAAAGAATTTAATATAGGATTGCCCTATATATTTTATTCTAACTAGAACCCTGTTCATAAATCATTGTCTACTCCCTATTATATGCCTTCTTACTCTCTTGTAATCTCTTCCTCTATAATGAATATAAAAACCAACATTAATTCTTTTTTAATTATCTCAGTGCTGGAGTGAGCATTCCAAAGGACAGAGGAATGGGGGAAGGGGCTGTAAGAGCTACCCTTTTACTTGGCTTCCTTGTGAGTCAGGTTTTGGAAACCTTTCCCACCCTTTGTCCTCACCAGGATGTTTGGGATAGTATTATTTGGACACTATGAAGCAGGGATCTTCAAACTTGGCCCTTTTATGACTTGTAGACTTCAACTCCCAGAATTCCTCAGCCAGGCACATTTGTGGTCATGTGATTGGACTTAGTAACAGTTTTGTTTAACAACTGAGTTGCCTGTAGAGGCAGCAGTAGACAAGTACTTCTTTATTTGAAGCATTGCTCCACCCCTATTTACACATTCAGTTTGGGCGGCAGCAGCCAATGAGAACACAGTATTCTTCCAGTTAAATGCATACTAAGTAGTCTGTAGACAGCAAGTCTGGCTGGCAGGCCATGTGGTCTGCTAAACTTCTTACACAGAACTCAGCAACGTGTTTCATAAATTTAACTCAATACATTACGCCTCTTCCCCCTGGAACTTTGACATTTACAAAGCATTGTCTGTTGTTCAAAGATTACAAACATTCAAAAGGCATAATGGCATACAAGCGTGACATTACACTGTTCAGTATGAAAAATACTTAAGTGTTTCAGTTTGCAAGAAACACGTAAGCATTCAAAATTTCAAGAAAAAAATACATAAGCGTTTAAGCTTGCAAGAAAAATACATAAGCATTTTAAGTTTGCAATGAGAAAAAACTTATGTAGTCTTTTAAATGTTTCAATGGCCCTTTTACCCGCTCCGAATGTCTCGGAACTGCTGCTAACTCCCAATCTGCAAGCTCGCCTGCTAGGTTCAGCAGACCAGGGCTGTGTGATCCGTGCGACATGGGTAGAGCTGATTCGTGAAGGCTGGCCTGTTCCGATAGATCCGAGCCTTTGTCCATTTCCCTGGGGCTGGCCTGTTCTGGTAGGCCTGAGCCAGACTTCCGTGGTGGAGTAGAATCCACCGGAGCAGCATGAAAAGCCAATTGAGAGAAATGCCCCATGGGTGCAGTACCTGAGTTAGGAGCAGCCTCGTTTGCAAAAACCTCATTTGGCAATCGCAAGGTCCCACTTTCGCTGAGAGACTCAGTTGCATGATCGCAATTGTGTTCCTTGTCCCCCCTGAGAGCAGAGTCAGGAGCGGAAGAGTGGCTTGGTAACCTCCATCGCAGCTGGTCAATGTGCCTGCGAAGCACACAACCGTCTTCCAGGATCACTTCATAGGAGAATGGCCCTGACACCTTACAAACCACAGCTACTACCCACAGTGCCCCTTGCCCATAGTTGCGCGCCCACACCAGGTCGCCCACTTGCAAGTGCCTTGGTGACTTAGGCTGCTGTGCCTGTGGAAGCAGCCCTGACTGGATGTAAGCAATCCAGCTTTCTGATCAATCTGCGCCCTCATCTTAATTCAGCTGCGCTCTTGCCCGTCAAAGTGCAGGGCGTAGTGCATTCGCAGAGTAGGAAATCTGCCTACCTGTGATGCCAATTGCCAGTTGTGATCCTCTTCAAGGATTCCTTGGTGTTCTAACCATGCGTTCCACTTGGCCATTAGAGTCCGGGGGGAAAGGAACCAAAGTGGCATGCCTAATCATATTTGCCCTTAAGAAGGACTGAAACTCTGCAGAAGTAAATTGAGCCCCATTGTCTGAGACTATAACATCTGGGCGCCCATGTGTTGCAAAATGCTGTGCAGAACCTGGATGGTTCTGGCAGTAGTCATAGTGGACACCGGAATGACTTCTAGCCACTTGGAGTGACTGTCCACAACAATGAAGAAGAATTGCCCCTTAAAGGGGCCAGCAAAATCAATATGAAGACCAAGGGGCTTGTGTGGTCTCCCATCTATATACAGGAGCATGTGGCATTTCTGGCCTTGACTGCTGGCAAATGTGGCACCTGTGCACCTGGGCCTTGATATCTTTATCGAGCCCAGGCCACCAAAGGTAGCTGCGTGCGAGTGCCTTCATCGGGACTATTCCCAGATGTGCCTCATGCAGAGAATCAAGGATTCTAGCCCTCAGTGAGGTTGGGATTACTACCCTACTGCCCCACAAATACAACCCTTATAAGTGGATAACTCAAGATTCCTTCTCCAGAAACTCTGAAAGTTAAGGCCAGTACACGTTTCCGGCCATCTAGTGAGCACACAGTTCAACAAGCAGCTCAGCGTGTTGTCTGAAGCTGTTTCTGGAGCAACATCCCTTGCCTTAAGGGGACACTTGAACAACTCCTGGATAGCCAGGATGTGGTTGGCTGGAGCAGGGTCTGACTCTAATAGCTGTAGAGGCAACCTACTAAGGCTGTCTGTGTGGCCTATTTCTTTACCTAGTTTGTGAACCAGACAATAATCATAAGCAGATAAGAATATTGACCACCTCAACATTCTAGGGGTGTCTGCTTGTTTGTAGTGAACAACCCCAGAAGTGGCTTGTGGTCAGTGAAGACTGTGAAGTGGTGGCCATACAAAAAGTCATGAAACTTTTTATGCCCACCACAATGGTCAATGCTTTCCTATCTATTTGTGCGTAATTGCGTTCTGCAGCAGAAAGAGTCCTGGAGTAATAGCTGGCGAACCTATGGCACACGTGCCAGAGGCGGCATTCAGAGCCCTCTCTGTGGGCACGTGCACTATGTCCCAGAGATGGCAACCATCCGTCTTCAACCAGCTGCCGGCTAACACACCCAGGTTCCACATGGCCAAATGCATCCCAGTATGGTTGGTTTCCCTCCCCTCATCCTATCCCTCCTGGCCTTGCATGCTCTCCTTTTCCCAGGCACAACCCACTGTATCACCTCCTCAGCAGTCAGCCAGCTGTTCAGCTCAGAGGCATCTTCTGTGAACTGCTGGTGGTGGGTTGTGAAGCTGCTGACAGACACTGTCGGCTCCCATGCGCTTGCTGGCCTCTGAGTGGGGGGGCTGATGGTGTCAGGCAGAAGCTGCCCCGGCCCCTGCCTCATCTTGCCCTGCAACAATGGCTCCCCCACCTTGCCTCACCTTACCTCACTTCACCCTGCAGGATGAACCTCCTGCCCCCTGCCCCACCTATCAGAGAACTCCTGGATCTCCCCCAACCCTGCCTGGCCCCCACAGGCATCCCTCCCCACAATCAACATTGAGGTGACCACACCCACATTGACCATACCCACCTAGTCTGTCATGACCACCACAGCCACACCCACCCAGTGGGCCATGCCTACCTGGCACCCGGCGATAAATAAGTGGGTTTTGGGTTGCAATTTGGGCACTCGGTCTCTAAAAGTTTTGCCATCAGTGTAATAGGCTATAGGGATGTATCCCATCAGCACTGAGATGACTTAATACAACTCCAATCCAATACAGGGATGCATCACATGTGATGCTGACTGGCAACTGCTCATTGAAATGAGCCAACACCGCATTTGATGACAACAATGCCTTAACTGCTGCAAAACTCCTCTTGTGGACACTCGTCCACTTCCATGGAGCCTTCTTGTCCAAGAGCCAGTATAATGGCTCTGCCACTGTGGCCTTGTGGGGGGAGGAGAGCGTGATAAAAGTTAAGGAGTCCCAGGAAGGCCTGAAGCTCTTCCTTCGTCTTGGGACTTGGTGCCTGCTGAATTGCTTTGAGCTTGGATTCAGCAGGATGAATGCCTTTGGCATCTATATGAAACTCCAGGAACTCTGTGGAAGTGACCCCAATTTTACATTTCTCCTGTTTGTGCTTCAGCCCCGCTTCACAGAAATATTGCAAGATGGCCCGGAGCCTGTCAGTGAGACTTTTGACTGATTCCCCAGCTATGAGGACATCATTGAAATATGGGCATACACCCTGAATGTTGCGGAGCATGCGCTCCATTACACTCTGAAAAATGCCAGGGGCTACATTAACCCTGAACTGTAACTGTTGCACTTTGAAGGCTCCCCAGTGGGTTACAATGGTTTGGGCCTCAGCCGTGGCATCTTCCACCGCCAGCTGCAGATAGGCCTGGGCCAAATCTAATTTGGCAAAAATGTGACCTCCCTTTAGAGATGTCAAAATGTGGCTGACTACAAGCACCGGACAGGAGTGCTACTGGAGAGCTTTGTTTAGCATGCATTTATAGCCGGCACAAATGCGGACTTCTCCGTTGGCCTTAAGTGGCATGACAATTGGAGTTTCCCATGGATTGCTATCCACTGGCTCTAAGATGCCTTGCTGCAACAGCTTGTCCAGTTCTGAATTGATTCTCTGCTTTAGGGCAAAAGGCATCCAACGAGGCTTAATCCTTATCATTGCTATTGAAGAATCTAGCCATAGTGCAATTGGAGACCCTTTGTATGCCCCTAACTCTGAGCTGAAGGCATCAGCAAACTCTTTACAAACCGCCAAGAGGCTCGACGTCTGCAAGCTATTTAACCTAGTCACTTGAATTCCCAAAGCATCAAACCAATCAAGTCCAATTACACTAGTGCAGTTGCCCTCAACCACTATGACTTCTAAGGGACCCTTGAGGTTCCTGAATTGCACCCTGAGTGTGGCCTCCCCTTTGACTTTTACCCAAGAGTTTTGAAAATTTGTTAAAATGAGATTTGACGGCCTGAGCTTAACTCGCTTGCCGCTCTGACTACAAATTTGGGGGAGTGTCCTTTGGGAAATTATTGATAGGGCATAGCCAACTCCATGTGAGAAGGAACTCCTTGCAACTTGACTTTGAGATGCAATTATTCCTTCAGTGGGCAGTGGGCACATGTCCTAAACATGCTCCTTCTACTAGCGCAATAACCCATCCTATTTTGTCCAGGGACCCCAGTACCTTTCCGAGGCAACTCTTCTGATGAGTGTTTTTTCCTGCGATCCAAACAAACAGTGGTGATGTGGCCTTGCTTGCTACACACCTGGCAAGTTGCTGTGTGGAATTGGCAGTCAGTCCGTTTCTGTTGGCCTCCGCACCCGATGCAACGAGAGAGGGAAACTGCCTTGTCAGGTTGCCGTTGAGGCCTTCTTTCTGGAAGTTGCTGTAACTTATCAACTTTATGGTCCGATTCAGAGTCCTCTTGGTGGATGGCCTCCAGGCAAGGAGGGTTCTTGGAGAGCTGCAAGGCCTTAACAGCTCCGCCCACTGCTTCTTCGGCCGTTATCTCCCTCAATGCATATTTTATTTGCAAAAGATCTTCTGTTGCAACTCCTGGCTCCTTAGACCACAAACTAAATGATCCCAAAGTCTTTCTTCAAGTTCTTTGAATTCGCATTGCTGGGCCACTTGGCAAAGAGCAGCTGTGAAGTCAGCGGCAGACTCGCCAGGATGCTGGTCTTGTTGTTTGAAGGCATGCCGCCAGCTGATGACCAAAAGCTTGGGCTCAAAATGTTCTTTGAGTATCTTCTTAAGTTCTGAGTATGTAATAGACTCAAATGGCACTGGTGCAACCAAGTTCTCTCCAATGTCAAAAGTTGCTTGACCGCAAACACACAGCTGCGTCACGGCCTTCAATCCATCATCTTGAACTTGGTTAACTCGCAGGTAGTTTTCAGCTCTCGCAACATAGGAGCTCTACCTCACTGGATGAGTGACATCGAATTCGGAGAGTATCCCGATCTTCGCCATGGTGAATCTTTTGTGGCCTTTTCAAAGCCTCTTGCTGTGCAGGCTTCCATGGGACTTACAGGGCAGATTCTTGGAAGCACTCTCCTCCAGCATTTCTGTTCTGGTAGGATAGAGTGGGGGGAGTGGAAAGCCGTTCCGACCAAGTGCTTGCTAGGCCTTTCCCCCATAGTGACTCAGCTCTTCAAAGTGCGGCAACACGATCCCACTTTCATCACCATTGTTAAGGTTTCAGTTCAGTGTGGCACTGAAGAGGCAGCAGTAGATAAGTACTTCTTTATTTGAAGGTCAAACCAGAAACTAACAAGCATTGCTCCACCCCGCTTTGGGTGGCGGCAGCCAATGAGAACATAGTATTCTTCCGCTTAAATGCATACTAAGTAGTCTGTAGACAGCAAGTGGTCTGCTACCCGTTCTTACACAGAACTCAGCAACCTGTTTCATAAATTTAACTCAATACATTACAATATATATGACATAGGGCTTCAGAATGCTCACATGTCACAAAATTGGAAGCAGATACATTATTCTGCAGTTCTGCTTGCTGGCTTTGGCCCAAAATAATAAAAATGGGTGTAGTTGGTAGAATAATCAGATTAATAAACAATTAAACATCTGAACCTTGAACAGATGACTATATAAACATCTTGCTTATTTATTAATTCAATCTAGATGCAGTTTGAAAGAAACTTGCATCTACCAAAGTGATAATTTCTAAGCAGCTCCTAAAATATTTCAATTGAATAATGGGAAGAAAGTGTAAGTTTTCATTAAATTGCTAGTTGTGTCCCTTTAATTGAGACTTCATGACACTTTAAATAAGAGAAGAGCACCTTTCCTAAAATGATTACTGGGGGAGGGATTAAAGATACAAAGATCTTTTGCCTACAGACAGGAAAACAATAACAAAAATGACATGGTTTTGGGAAAAACGGGGGGTGGGAGGAGAACTGTTTTTTCCTCATTTTTCCAGGTTTTTTCCCATCTCTATCCATCCACCAAAGTGATGTGCCAATGGCCAGGAGGGCGCAGCCTGTGACCCAAAGACCCGGACAGACAGGTCTCCATGTTGGGGTGGAGGCGCCCTGAGCACTGGGCCTTCCCATGCTCTTCCCAGGGGTCGGCACCGCCAGGGGAACCCTCTCTGAGGACAGAAGCAAGGCCCGGAACAGCCAGCTCCTCTTTCCAGCCGGCAGTGACCGAGCTCCCGGCTTCTCACCACAACAAGGCAGATGAAGCAGTGGCTTCCTCAAAGTGACTTTCAGCTGCAGAACAGGCCACCAAGATGCCGGCATCAGTGATGGGGAGGCTAGATCAGCATCGGAAGAATGAGAGCAAGGATGCTCTAGCTCCGCCCCTTGTTTTCCTGTTGGGTCCCAACCCCAAAAGTGTAGCTGCTTCTAGAGGTGGGGAACTATGGCTCCCCTTATGACTTGTGGACTTCAACTCCCAGAATTCCTGAGCCAGTCCGGTACCATAGCTAGATACCCTCCCCCCACTTGTACAGACTTCAATTTCCCGAATTCTCCAGAATTACCATCCTGACTGGGAAATTCTAGGATTTGAAATCCAGGCATCTGGAGAGGATGAAATTTAAAAATTAAGGCTAATTTTAAACAAGTCAAATTAAAAAAAAATACAGCTGTGGAGAGCATCCATCCAGTGCTGTACATAGCCAGCTTTCCTGATCTCCTTTTCCAAAACTGTCACACAATCCCCCAACTAATGATGATGATGGTTTATTAAACTTGTGGAATACTGTCATTTGGCTGCAAGGTCACCTTCTGTATGAAGTCTGCTTGGGTGCACATTCTTTCCAAACAGTTTTCTTTTGCTACCGGAAGCCCTTGACTTACAACAGTTCATTTAATGAATGTTCAAAGTTACAACAGCATTTTTCACACTTATGACCGGTGCAGCTTCCCCACAGTCATGCATTTTACATGCCAATGCTTGACAAATGGTTCGTAGTTATGCCGGCTGCAATGTCCCGGGGTCACATGATCATCTTTCGTGACCTTCTGATAAGCCAAGTCAATGGGGGAAGCCAGATTCGCTTAACAACGGTGTTACCAACATAACTAATTTTACTAATTTAACAACTGCAGTGATCCGCTAACAAATGTGGCAAGAAAAGTCATAATGGGGCAAAATTCACTTAACAAATTTCTCACGTGCAACATAAATTTTGGGCTCAGCTGTGGTCATTGAGTCAAGGACTACCTGTATTACAGAGAAGACTGTCTTTGGGTGAGGCCACAAAGGGCTTGGTCTGGAAAAAAAATGAAAAAATTGGGGGGGAGAGGGTTTTCCCCCCATTTTTTAAAATATGGTTTTGGAAAAAAAGGGGAGAGGAGAACTGTTTTTTTCCTCATTTTTCCAGGGTTTTTTTCCCCCATCTCTACCCATCCCGAAAACTGACCTGCCAATGGCCAGGAGGACGCAGCCTGTGACCCAAAGACCTGGACAGGTGTGTTTCCCCTTCGGGGTGGAGGTGCTCTGAGCACCCTCTTCCCCCCTTCCTGCACTCTTCCCAAGGGTTGGCACTGCTGGGTAACCCCTCCAAGCTGGGGAGCAAGACCGGGAACAGCCGGGCTCTTCTCACCGGCTGGCTGCGAGCAAGCTCCCGGCTTTTCACCACAACGAGGCCGATGGGGAAGCTAGAACAGCATCGCAAGAACAGGCGCAAGGATGCTCTAGCTCCACCTCTCATTTTCCTGATGGGTCCCAACCCCAAAGGTGCAACTGCTTCTAGAGCAGAGGTGGGGAACTATGGTTCTCCTCATGACTTGTGGACTTCAACTCCCAGAATTCCTGAGCCAATTCCGGTACCATAGCTGGATACCCTCCCCCCACCCCCCAGTTGTTGAAGTCCAGGCATCTAGAGAGGATGAAATTTAAAGGTTAAGGCTAATTTTGAACAACTCAAATTCAAACAAATTACAGCTGTGGAGAGCATCCATCCAGTGCTGTGCATAGCCAGCTTTCCTGATCTGCTTTTCTAAAATTAGATCCTAGAATGGAAAATGTGGAGTGTTTTCAAATATCAGGGCTTTTCAACCGGTGCTACGTGTAGCACTAGTTATATGCAACCACCTGGCTGGTGGTATGCGGCATTGCCTTCCTCCCCCCCCACCCCCCACGGCGTTGCCTTCCTCCCCCCTCCTTCATAGCTCACTTCCTTGTTGAAATTGAAAACAAGCTGCTTGGCGACAACCTGCAAGGACCCTACTGAGGGTGTGTGAAGAGCGGAGGCGATAAGCAAGGCCCCACCCTACCCAGGGACTGCTTGTGCAGGATCCGTGTTGCCCTTACCCCTCTTCTTACTTCAGAAGTAAGTGTGAGCCTGAAGTAGGTAGCTGTTTGAGACCTCTCATGTCACGGCCCTGAGCGCCAACCTCACAACTGCCCCTCCTTCCTTTCCTCCTCCTTCTCTCTCTCTCTCTCTCTCTCTCTCTCTCTCTCTCTCTCTCTCTCTCTCTCCCTCTCTCTCTCTCTCTCTCTGTTGTGGCCTCAGTCTCTTCCATTTTCTTTCCCTCTTCCCCCCTCCCACGAGCTTGCAATACCCCTCACAGCCCTCACGTTGCCTCCTGGGGCTCGAGTGTTTTCCCCCTCTCCCCGAGGTGCCCGGCTTTACGGAGGGGAAAGAAAATAGCCAGACCGCATGCACCCTCCCAGAGGACTCATCCCACAGCAGCAGGTGGGAATTGAGGCCCACATTTGTTTTGCTGATGCTGATCAGAAAGGTGACTCGGGGGTCGGCCGTGGGTGGAGGGGCTGCTCCCTTTCTTCAGGTTCTCTGAGCTCAGCTCTCCGCTCCCCACTCTCAATACCAGTTGAAATGGCCACAATGGTGCTGCACACTCAGTAGCCATCCCCTGCCTGGCACTCATTGGCCACTATGCGCTGCCTGTTGAGCGCAGCATGGTCTCATCGGGACACGGCGGCAGTTCGAGGTGATCACCGGCACTTCATTGGCTCAGGCCAGGCACCCGTGATAGGCATCTCGGGGGACAGCTGTGACTTAGGGGACAGCCATGGGTGGGGGTGGCTGCTCCCTTGATTCAGGCTCACTGAACTCTGATACCAATCAAACCTTCCAACGCCCGCACGGTGGGAAACCGATCCGGGCACTGCAGCACAAGCCGCAAGCTGTGGGGGATCCCTGCTGCCACCGCCAGAGCTGGCTACAATGGAGTGCCAGCCAGATGCTTCAACCAGGTACCGGCAGCCTTCTCAGGATGCCCCACCCATTGGTGATGTTGCTGCTCCGCATTCCAGGATGCCAGGGAATCCCTGCCCACCGGAGCTGGCCACAATGGAGCGATCCCGGCTCTACCATACGCCCCACTGGCTGGGAAGTACCACTGGAGTCCCAGCTGCCCAGAAGGCGATCAGCTTGCTCCTCTCCCATCACCCGCTCTGCTCAGCTCGAGCCTGGCTGGAGCAGTTTTGGTACTTCCAAAGGTGGCCACTTCAAGGTCACATGGGTAGCCCTCAGCCACTCCTCTCCCCTGATTGGAGAGAGAGGGAGAGAGAGGGAGGAAGAAAGAGAGGGAGAGAAAGAGAGAGGGAAAGAGAGGGAGAAAGATAGGGAGAAAGAAAGAGAGAGAAAGAGAAAGGGAAAAAGAGAAAGAGGAAGAGAGAAAGAGAGAGGGAAAGAGAGGGAGAAAGATAGGGAGAATGAAAGAGAGAGAAAGAGAGAGGGAAAAGAGAAAGAGGGAGAGAGAGAGGAAGGAAGAGAAAGAGGGAGGGAGAGAGGAAGAGAGAGAAAGACGGACAGAGAGGGAGAGAGAAATAGAGATGAAGAGAGAGAATGCGAGAGAGAAGGAAACAGAAAGAGAGAGGGAAAGAGAGGGAGAAAGATAGGGAGAAAGAGAAAGGGAGAAAGAGAAAGAGGGAGAGAGAAAGAGGGAGGAAGAGAGAAAAAGAGGGAGAGGGAGGGAGAGAAAAAGAGGTAGAGGGAGGGAGAGAGAAAGAGAGGGAGAAAGAAAGAGGTAGAAAGAGAAGGAGAGAGAGAGGAAGGGAGAGAAAGAGGGAGGGAGAGAAAAAGAGGGAGAGAGAGAAAGAGGGAGAAAGAAAGAGAGGCAGAGAGAAATAGAGATGAAGGGAGAGAGGGAGAGAGAAAGAGGGAAAGAGAGGAAGAAAGATAGGGAGAAAGAAAGAGGGAGAGAGAAAGAGGGAGAGAGAGAGAAATAGAAGGAGAGAGAGGGAGAGAGCAATATAGAGAAAGAGAGAAAGAGGGAGAGAGAGATTAAATTAGTAACATGGTTCTTAAATGAATCTGGTTTCCCCATT